GCCACCCTGAGCTGCTTAACCAAGAGTGATGATGCCAGGGAACAAAGGTCTGCGTTAGAGCCTCTATTCCCAATCCCTAACCCTCCCTCCTTGGAGGCCATGCCAGGACCTCTATGGCTGATGCCAACCAGGTCATGTTTTTTTTTTTGCACTATTCAAATTACAGTCTTCCTAAGAACTCCTTATCTCGGGGCACTATTGGATGAGAGCGAGATTGTTATAGAATAACAAGCACCACTTACTCAAGGATTAGCTGGGGATTGCATTTTGTTTTAAATAAAAATATTATTAAATATTTCTTCTGCATTAGGAGAACAATTCTAGACTTGGGGTCTCCCTGGATCAGGTAACTGTGATAAAACACGTCAGTGATCTGTTTCTCTGTGGGTAAACTGGGTGATAAACTGGGTGGAGCAGAAGGGCTTTATTACCAACCATTTATTGACTCCCCGAGGTGTGCAGATTATTCCTTCTTCATGCTTTTAGATGTGACAAATGTAAGTGCATATTCTTGGTGCATTAAGTTGCTGAAAGGGTGGTTAGTGCAGAGGTGTAAATGAGAGGAAGGACTCAGTTTAATAAGGAGAAGGCTTTGTGAGTGTGGGGTTAGGGAACCTGGCACACAAGAACATCAGGGACATACAAGTTGTTATTTCCTTGTTTCAGCTGAGAGATAGCAAACAGCAAACATAAGGCATCCCAGGCTGGGCAAGTCCTGCTCTATGGAAACATGCCATGCAGATATGGGACAGGACACAGATAGAAAGGTCAATTAAGTTTCACTGAGCAGGATCTGTCTGGGTTGAAACCCGAGGAAAGAAGAGGAGGTTTAGGGCTGGGGCTGTTAACCTTCCTTTGTGTGTTTCTATTGTAGCTCTATTTATGTGGTGCCTGGAATCAATTCATGAGGAAGATACAGACTCAAAACAGCCAAAAAGGGTCCCAACAGTGCTGAAGTCGTGTATCAAAAAAGTTACTGTTCAAAATTCGGTCATTTAAGATGTGTTTGATACATTTGTGTGCAGACTTTGGCCCATCAGACCAGGAAGCCCAGAATTCATTTTTGCTAAAGCTGGATGAGGGGTGAAAGCAAACCATGTGAGGCTGGAACTCAAAAACAATCAGCATAATCTTTTTTGTCAATATTTAGGTTGTATAAAAGGTGGTGTGACTATTTTTGCAGATGACATTTACATTGAAACCTCAAATGTCTTCTGTCTTCTCTTTTCCAGTCTACTTTCTTGTTGCCTCCTGTTACTCTAGTGATATCTAGTATCTCTCCTACTTTTCTTAGTTGTTTAATTTACCTGATATATCTTTGCCTGTGGTTAAAGCTCGTTGGTGAACGGTGCCTCCCACAGCACAAAGCTCCAACTGGAGGATCCTAACATAACATAAATTTGTCCAGCAGACAAAAACCCATTAGTTCAAAGAAAGCATGGGACACCAGCTGGGTGTTTCTCTGCACTCAAAACCAAGTTTGGGCTTTTCTTTCATCTTTGTGTTAAAAAAAGAGAAAACTTGCCTGAGCAGGCAGGCAGTGTGCTGGTGTCACACTCCTGCCTCAGCTGCCCACATCTTTCTACCTCTCCCCCAATATACCTTCCTGTTGCACAGGACTACAAACCTTCCTTGAAATGACTGAAGTAACTAAAAATGCTCTGATATTCTGCTGGATTGAAGGCACCTTGAAGACACTGCATGAAAATCTAATCTCACTGCCATACAGATCCCATGGATCAGAGAGAAATCCTGATGATTTCAGTAGCCTTCTGCCATGCCACCATTTCCCTTCCCCAGGCTTCATCCAAGAGGGATAGGAGGGGACAATACCGGTGGCCTTTATCATAGAATCCCAGAACCCCAGAAGGGTTTGGGTTGCAAGGGAGCTGTAGGAGCAGTGTGGCAGCAGCAGAGCAGTGATTCTGCCCCTGTACTCGGCGCTAGTTGGGACACACCTTGAGTCCTGTGTTCAGTCCTGGGCCCTCAGTTCAGGAAGGACATTGAGGTGCTGGAGAGTGTCCAGAAAAGGGCATCGAGGCTGGGGAAGGGACTGGAGCACAAGTGCTGTGAGGAGAGGCTGAGGGAGCTGGGGTTGTTGAGCCTGGAGAAGAGGAGGCTCAGGGGAGACCTCATCACTCTGCAACTCCTGACAGGAGGCTGTGGCCAGGTGGGGGTTGGTCTCTTCTCCCAGGAACCAGCAGTAGGACAAGAGGGCTAAAACTGTGCCAGGGGAGGTTTAGGTTGGACATTAGAAAGAAGTTCTTTACAGAGAGAGAGGCCAAACGTTGGAATGGGTTGCCCAGGGAGGTGCTGGAATCACTGTCCCTGGAGGTTTTTAAGAATGGCTCTTAGTGCCATGATCTGATTGACAGGTTGGTGTTGGGTCATGGGTTGGACTTGATGATCTCAGAGGTATTTTCCAACCTAGTTGATTCTGTGATTCATTGTGTGATTCTGTGATTCTGACCCCCTGCCACAGGCAGGGACATCTTCCACCAGCCCAGGTTGCTCCAAGCCCCGTCCAACCTGGCCTGGGACACTTCCAGAGATGGGGCAGCCATAGCTTCTCTGGGCACCCTGTGCCAGGGCCTCATGACCCTCCACAGCCAAGAATTTCTTCCCAATACCTAATCTGCGCCCGTCCTGTGCCAGCGCGAAGCCATTCCCTGTGCCCTGTCCCCGGTCTGCTGAGGCCAGGCGGGTAGCCCCGTGTTTCGGTGCCCCGTGTGGGGCAGGCAGGAGTTGCTGTGGGGGCTCTGTGAGGCGGGGCTGGCCCCGCTGTCCCTGTCCCGTGTGGGGCAGGCAGGAGTTGCTGTGGGGGCTCTGTGAGGCGGGGCTGGTCCCGCTGTCCCTGTCCCGTGTGGGGCAGGCAGGAGTTGCTGTGGGGGCTCTGTGAGGCGGGGCTGGCCCCGCTGTCCCTGTCCCGTGTGGGGCAGGCAGGAGTTGCTGTGGGGGCTCTGTGAGGCGGGGCTGGTCCCGCTGTCCCTGTCCCGTGTGGGGCAGGCAGGAGTTGCTGTGTGGGCTCTGTGAGGCGGGGCTGGCCCCGCTGTCGCTGTCCCTGTCCCTGTCCCGCCCGGCCGGGCCCGCCCCCCCCGCGGCTGTGGCTGAAGGGCCGTGATTTCCCCGAAGTGACGCGCCCGCCTCAGCCAATGGGCGGCGCGTGCGCCCCCGCCCCCCCCGCGCGCTGATTGGCCGGGCCGCGGCCGGGCCCGGGCGCGGGGAATCCCGGCGGGGCCGCGTTATACCCGGGGCGGGGAGACAGCGGGGACAGGCGCGGGGAGACACCGCTCCGAGCGGCACGGCACGGAGAGACACCGCTCCGAGCGGCACGGCACGGAGAGACACTGCCGGCCATCGCACAGAGCGGCACCGCACGGAGAGGCATCGCACAGAGCGGCTCTGCACGGAGCGGCACCGCACGGAGCAGCACTGCCGAGCATCGCACCGAGCGGCACCGCACGGGTCAGCACTGCACCGCACTGCACCGCCCAGCACCGCGCGGCTCGGCTCCGCTCGGCACAGCGCAGTGAGGTGGGTCGCGCTGCGTCCCGTCCCATCGCTCAGCCCCGCTTTGTGCAGCACCGGGGCTCCGGGAGAAGGCGCCCCGCGGGCTCCGTGCGAGCGGCCCCCGGGGCCACGAATCGGCTCGACTCTGCTTGGCAAGAGGCGGCAGAGCCTCTGTCGTGAGGAGTTTTGGAGGCGGAGCGGGCGCGTCGAGCCGGCAGCCGTCGGGTGGGCAGCAGCATCCCTCCTGTGGGCAGCGGGCACCGCTCCTCCGGGTACCGGCCGGCACCGGCCGTCCCTCCTGCGGGCAGCGGGCACCGCTCCTCCGGGCACCGGCCGTCCCTCCTGCGGGCAGCGGGCACCGCTCCTCCGGGCACCGGCCGGCACCGGCCGTCCCTCCTGCGGGCAGCGGGCACCGCTCCTCCGGGCACCGGCCGTCCCTCCTGCGGGCAGCGGCCTCACAACGCCCAGGAAGGGACCCACCGACCCGGGCTGTCACCCCGCACACCGGGGCCGGGCACGTCCCTGCACAGCTGCCGCTCCCGGGCTCGGCTGGAGGTTCCGCTCCGCCGAGGAGCCCGGTGCGGGGCGGGCGGCCCGAGCCGCGCTCCCCCGGGGCTGCCCCGGCAGACCCTCACTCGGGACGGGCACTCTCCGGGAGCTCCTCCCGCCCCGCGCCGAGCGCGTTGCTGGTGAAAGTTAGAAATGCGTTGTTTGGGCTGTCTTGGGCTGCTTGTCTTGGAAAACCACCGCAAACAGGAAATCATTTGTGCAGAGGAAGGGCCGGGAGGGCCGGTCCTGCGGGGGCAGCGCGGGCGCCGCTGCTCGGGACGCGTCGCGGTGGAATTGGGGGTCCCCGCCTGCAGAAGGGCCGCTGCCTCCAATCTCGCCCAACTTAATCAATAATAGACTTTGAAGAAGAGAGTTGTGCAGCGGATGCCTCTCGGTGGCTGCGCTGGGGATCCCGCAGCGGTTCCCGCGGGGGGACACCCGCACCCACTCGCGGTGCTGGCCCTGGGCTCCCTCCCAGAGCTGGGGGTCGGGGCTGGGTTCCATCCCAGAGCTGGGGGTCGGGGCTGGGTTCCATCCCAGAGCTGGGGGTCGGGACTGAGTTCCATCCCAGAGCTGGGGGTCGGGGCTGGGTTCCATCCCAGAGCTGGGGGTCGGGGCTGGGTTCCATCCCAGAGCTGGGGGTCGGGGCTGGGTTCCATCCCAGAGCTGGGGGTCGGGACTGAGTTCCATCTCAGAGCTGGGGGTCGGGACTGAGTTCCGTCTCAGAGCTGGGGGTCGGGGCCGGGCTGCCCCCGGCCTGCCCTGTCCCACGCAGGGCTCCCCACGCAGCACGGGCTGAACACTCACCGCTGCCAGCGGCCTCCGTGCCGAGCTCCAAAGCCCAGCCGCGTTTTGGGGCTGGGCAGGAAGAGCAGGAAGCACTTCCCTCCTGGAGCAGGTGGGAGACGCTGAAGGAGAGTTAAGACTGCAAAAGTAGTGCTCGTTGGTGGGGCTGGTGGTGATGCTGAGGGTACGGGGGGGGTGACACTGCAGAGAGGTTAAAACAAAGAGGTTTGGCTCACCTGTACTCTCTTTCACAGCCAACATGCCAGTGTCAAGAATGCGCATGAGGCCCTGGTTGGAAATGCAGATTAATTCCAATCAAATACCGGGACTGATATGGATTAACAAGGTGAGACTGCTCTGTACTGTTATCATCATTATTAGTATTACTTGTTCTTAAATGACAGTAAGCAAGGGTCAAGATCATAAAGAAAAAAAACTTGGAGAAAACTTGCTAGCATTATGTTTACAAAACAACTATTTTTGTTTGCAGGAAAGGTAGCTCTGTTTGGTACACGGTGGAGTAGCTCCATTTTTTTTTTTTCTGGGAAAATTCCCAGGAGGGGAATGATAAATTACAACGAAAACAGTTTGACCATGGTGGAGTACCAAGAAATCTCCAAGATATCTTTTAACTCCTGCTACCCACTTAACTGTCCCAATTAAGCAGCTGCTGTTACACTCCATCTGTTCCCAGTTCTAGGATATGGGCTGAAAGAAGCATTGTATTTTTTTGGTGTGGAAGGTACATCCCTGTACCTGTAGCACAGGGTGACATCACTGGGTTTATTGAACCCGGTCTCTGAAGTTTCCATATCCATCCCAAGGGGATATTTAGGCTAGGACATGTTTGTAGGATTCCTGCAGGACCTTATGGGCAACATAAAAAAAGGGATTCTCTGCCAAAGTGTACTTAGAAAATATACTGTAATTTATGACATACTTAAAAATTGGTTGCAATGTATTGAAATGATTCAGGATAACATTGATAATATTGCTTACCTCTACTGTGCTGTTTCACATGTGGTCTTTTTCCCAGTTTCAGAAATCATAAAAAGCCTTTAATACCATGAACAAAATAAATGGAACAATGGATATTAAATTAAAATATAGAGCAGGGGGGTTATAACATTTCTGAGCTGCTACTGAGAACTCTTTGATTAAATCCATCATTCCAAACTGGCATGTGACGTTTCTTTTTTAAGTCAAATCTCTACTGGTTTAATTTCAGGACAAGAGGATATTTCAGATCCCATGGAAACACGCAGCCAAGCACGGCTGGGACATGGAGAAGGATGCCTACCTTTTCCGGAGCTGGGCCATTCACACAGGTGGGTGCTGCCTCTGCATTCCCATGGATACCTCAAACAAGGCATTTTTGCCTTGACTTACACCTTCTACCAGTAGTTACATTAGCTACTAGTATATAGGTCAGAAAATAGAAATTTTGGGTTTCTTTTTGGTGGGAAGAAGTGGCACTGCAAAGTCTTAAAGGCATACCCCATCTCTTTTTTCCAGGAAGATATAAGGAAGGTGAGAAAGATCCTGATCCAAAAACCTGGAAGGCAAACTTCCGCTGTGCCATGAATTCCCTGCCTGACATCGAGGAGGTGAAGGATAAAAGCATCAACAAAGGCTCCAGTGCCGTCAGGGTTTACAGGATGCTGCCACCCCTGACAAAGCACCAGAAGAAAGGTAAACCCTTGGCAATCCAGCTGGGGTTATGCTGCTTAAACAGCACTTCAATGTGCAGGCAGGGGGTGACAGACCTGTTGGTAGCACTGGGACCTCTGGGGTTACTCACTGATTATTTCCATTGGGAACTGCTTGTACCAGGGGGTCAGTTTATCCCAAATTCTTTAGAGGTGCCTAGAGGCCTCAGCGGGAGGCAGTGGGGACTGGCTGCTGCTGGCAGGAGCTGAGTTTGCTGAGCAGCTCTCAAGGCTGCAAGAGCTCACACTCACCTAAAACGTGCAGCTCTTTCTCACACTGGTCTTATTTTTATTTCCCAGAAAGGAAGTCAAAGTCTTCAAGAGAAGTAAGAAACAGGAGCAAGAGAAAGGTATGTGTCTGTAGAGGCAGATGAAGAAGCTAGAGGTTTTGGTGGTTTTCTTGCTTAACTTTTTTCATATGGGAACTTGTGTGTTCTTAGACAAGCCCTTCATGCTGTGCCCTTGTTTTTGTAGTTCTGTGAAGAGGCGAGGCTGGAGGAGTCAGCAGAAGGGTTCACCAACACCCCCCTGCCAGATGACCACAGCAGCTACACCATGCACGACTATGGAGGGCAGGAAGTGGAGGTGGAGAGCACGTCCATCCCCTTAGGTGAGACACTGGTTTAAGCTCTGGGCAAGTATCCCCTTAGGTGAGACACTGGTTTAAGCTCTGGGCAGAGTGGAAAGCGCCGTTTGTGCCGTACTCAGAGATGGGTCCTGGGGCGGCTGTGCCATCAGACAGGCAGGGAGGAAGCAGAGTGGGTTTGTCCCCCTGCCGTGAGTTCCAAGCCCTGGTGTGTCCCACAGACCTGCCCTCCTGCGAGGTGAGCGGCTCCCTGGGCGACTGGAGGCCGGCCCTGGATGTGCCCGTGGCTGACAGCACCAATGACCTCTACCAGCTGCAGGTGTCCCCGCTGGCCTCGTCCTCCGAAGGTGGGCATTTCCTTCTTCCTACACCAAACTTGCACTGGGCTGAAGGAGGCACAGGGATGAATGAGTAACAGGAGAAATGAGTTGTTCTGCAGAAAACCCAACCTCCCCCTGATAGATTTGGGTATTTGGAGTTACCAAACTGGCTGGGGTGCAGAGGGGAAGAGCTGGCACGTGCCACCTGCTCATGGCTGAAAGGCTCTGAAATGCCACTGCTCCAGTAGTGACAGTGGAGGTTGCCATGCTTCCCAGTGGGGAAAAAAACAATTAACATGCATGTATCAGAGTGGTTCCTCCCTTAGGGTGCAAATCATCTTCCTCCTATCACCTTCCATACCAAGTGGACTCTGCTCTGTTGGGTCCTGGGGAGGTGTCAGAGCTGGCTGAGCAGTTGTTGAAGAGCATCAGAGATGAAGGGCTGGGGGGAGTCTGGGATGGGAGGAGCTAAAGGCAGTGCTGGTGTGTGACAAAGGAATATGAAGCAGAAATATGAGGGCTAAATGTTGACATCTATGTCTGTTTTCTTCTCTTTTTTTTTTTTTTTTTAACATGTTTACAAAACAGTCACAGATGAAGATGAAGAGGAAATAAACCCAGATATTTTTAAGGTAAGACCAGCCCTTCTGGTCAGAATAAAATGGTCCAAAGTTGGTCTTTGCACCAAGAGAGGAAGGCAAACAGGTGCCACATCAGCTGAACATATACTTATTTAATGAGGACTCCTGAATAATTCAGTATAAAAAGAAGGCTGCTTTGCAAACCTGAACTGGAGAGGACACACCCATGGAAATATTTACCCTTCATGTAAAAGCCAGAGGAAGTTGCTGAGTACTGTAGAAGACATTCATAGAATTATAGAATCACAGAGTCATTAAGGCTGGAAAAGACCTCTAAGATGATCAAGTCCAACTGTCAGCCCAGCAGCACCACCACGTTCGTTAAACCATGTCCTCAAGTGCCATATCCACATGTTTTTTTGAGCACTTCCAGGGATGGTGACTCCACCACTTGCCTGGACAGTCTGTTCCAATGCTTGTAAATCCCTTCCATGAAAAAGTTTTTCCTAATATCCAATTTAAACTTCCCTTGGTGCAACTTGAGGCTGATTCCTTGGCCTCAGGTTGATGTACTAAGGTCTGCAAAGGGCCTTCAGACTTTTCTATTTTGGCCTTCCCTCCACCTCTTGATATGTCTGGCCCTTAATCTGCATTTCCAGACATGTCCTGCTCATCTCACTGATAAGTTGGATAAGGTGCTCCAGCCCTCCCTTTTGCATTAGCTTTTTTTTTTTTAAACTGGGAGTAAAACAAGTTTTATGTAACTTGGCTTGAGAAGATGGAAGTTGATCTTGTTGCTTACCTGTCATCTGGTTGAGGGCAAGGAATCAGACACTGCACCCACGGCAAGAAGGGGTTTTTACCATCTCCTCCTTCTCTTCCAGCTGCTTGCACCAACCCAGGACTGGCACAGCACCAGCATTGGTGGGAAGGGCTTTCTCACCAACGAGCTGGGCACCCAGAGCATGTGCAGCACCTACAGCTACAAGGAGCAGGACGGGGAGATCGACACGACCTCAGGTATGGGGTCCTCGACAGGATGGCCCAGATGGGGGTTTTCATGCCAGGCACTAACGGGGAGGCAGCGAAGGAAATGGAGGAATTCACACCCCCTTGTGTTCTGAGATTTCCAAGCAGTCTGTAGGAAGGCTGTAAGGAACTGGGTGATAAAAAGGAAAAGTCAAGAACACCTCCAGTGAGAGTATCCTACAGACTTCAGGGCTATACATGCATAAGTTAGGTCAGCTTTCAGGAACTCCCTGCAATATAACTGAAGATTCCCTCCAGCAATAGCTTAAATGGGACAGTTTAGTAGTGTTTGGTGTATTTTAACAAAATAATAGTTTTTGATTTTTTAAAATGTATCTATGCACTATTTTGCTCTTGCTGCATTGATTCAGTGCCCATTCTTGGTTTATTTTGTCTAGGAGAGGCAGATTTCAGGTTCCTTGACCAGAAAGGCAGCCTAGACTTCTCCTGGCTGGATACAGTGAGACCTGTCATTCCCTGTGGCTTGTAAAGCCCTGGATGCTCCGACCACAAACTGCTCCTGGGTGGAAACCTGGGAGACGTGGAGAGAACGTTAGAAATGTTTTGTTACTGACTGGATGAAGAAAGTAGCTTTTTTATTCCGTTTTAGCTTAGGCCTGGAAAGGTTGTCCTGAACAGCTCCATTATCAATCAGACAGAGGAACCCCACCTCACCAGCAGGACTCTGGCACCCCGGATGCCCCTGCTCGCCCCAGAGGGGGAGGGAGGGGTCAGTGTGCCAGGAGTCCCACCTGGTGGGTACCACAGGCCTGGGGAGCAGGTTACCATCCTCCTCACGGGAGATGTGATGAGCACTTTACCCACAGAGTGCTTAGGGGACACACTGCAGACCAGTCTCTTACCTGTTAGTTTGGTTGCTGCTTACCTGTGCAACACTGGTGACACTGAGCTTAACGACCCTCATTACACTTGGTCAGAAAAATTGCACTAATGGGCCCTCTCTTCTTTGATTTACTCCATCACATAGTACATCTTTCAGATCTTTCAAACTCTGTACATAGTTTAGACCAATAAAATGTGAAAATTCAGTTTAGGTTTTGCTTCCAGCTAGTCTGTTCCCCAGTGCACTCACGGGATGCCCTCTGCTGTAGCCATGCCCCAAGCATTTCCAGGGGGGAGTTGAAGAGCTGCTGCACAAGACAATTTTGCACTGAGAGGGGCAGAGCTCTTTATTTTTATCATGCCTTCCCCAGATCCCTCCTGGCACTCTACAGGGATCCCCCCAGCGCTGCACACAAGCCATAACATCCTGCAGACCCCCTGGAGCAGCCTGTGCAGGGAAGTGCTGATGGATGAGGCTCTGGTTTGTGTGTAAAACGCAGGAATCAAATCACTAAGCTGTAACAGACTATTTTCTTGTACATTTTATTTTTGTATATAAAGTGTTGTATATTTGTTTTAATAAAATGTTTTATATATGACATGTTTACTTTTTCTCATGGGAGAGCTCTGAGGATGCATTCCAGCTTCCTTGAAAATACCCAAACAGATGTGCAGAGACAGTTGGAGGGGTTTTTTCATGACTCATGAAAGCACAAGGAATTTAGTTTGCTCCCGTTTTCTGCCCCCCCGCCTCCGTTTTCCAAGGGCAGCTGGTGGGTGGAATCCTGCTTGTCAGGAAAGGGAAGCTGAGGTGCTGTGCATGTGGGGGGGTGGTTGGTTTGTATTTGCCATCATCTGCAAGTCAGAGCAAGGTAACAGGCTACAGTAAAAATCATCCTATACAGCAAGTCCCTGCCTTGGACATGCCCCATCAGCACTGCCATCAGCTCTTGGGATGGGATCAGCAATGAAGCCCTCATTAAACACCTCGGGTTTGCCTAATAAAGAAAGCACTCTTTTACCCTGAATATGCCCTTCCTTTACCCTGCTGCAGGCTGGAAAGGTCTGATGTTATTGCATCATATGGGGTGGGAGGTGAGAGACAAGAGGCTGAGGCAAAGTGTGAGAGCACAGCCCCCCACACTGCCTGGAAAACCCCGGGATGGCCTTTGGGGAATAACTTCATTTTCTGAGCCAGAGCCAAGGAGAATATCAGGCTGTGGGAGAGGAAGACCCAGCCCAAAGGGCTGAACAAAGCAGGCATTTCCTACAGCCCTTGGCACAGGCTCTGCTGTGAGCTGACCTGCAGGGCAGGACTGATGGGGGGTCACGGGGGGAAGGAGGGAAATTCAGGGCCATAGAAAGGTGGTGGTGGGTCCCAAATCCAGCACAGCACAGTGGAGGGGCAGCCCGGGGAGGGGGAGGCTGGGCAGGGGTCCAGAGTCCTGTTAGTCATTAACCTGAGACAGCGGGGAAAGGAAGTGCAGGAAACACCTCCCAGGTGCCAGCGGGCACAGAGCAGCTCCCTGTGACTCCCCCTGGCCAGAGAGCAGCTCCCTGTGACTCCCCCTGGCTCTGCAGGGGTGGCAGCCCCCAGGGTGGTGACTGTGCTGTCCCCCCCCAGCTGTCACACTCCCTGGCAGGGTATCTGGCCTGAAGGTCCCCATCCTGGGAGGGATCTATCCAGCTGGGAAGCCCCCGAGTACCAGGGCTGCCTTGGATCACATCCACCTAAAATCCTGCAGATCTAGAGTAGGAATATTTTATGCTCAAGCAAAGAAATCACCCACCAGGTTTTCAGCCTTCCTGTACTTAAAGGGAGCTTACAAAAAAGACAAAGAGCAACCTTTTACTTGAGCAGTGACAGGACAAGGGGGTATGGCTGCAAACTGACAGAGGATAGGTTCAGATTAGATGCTGGGAAGACATTCTGGGCCATGGAGGGTCACGAGGCCCTGGCACAGGTTGCCCAGAGAGGCTGTGGCTGCCCAAGCCCTGGCAGTGTCCAAGGCCAGGTTGGACGGGGCTTGGAGCAACCTGGGCTGGTGGAAGGTGGCCCTGCCCATGGCAGAGGGTTGGAATGAAATGAGTTTTAAGGACCCTTCCAACCCAAACCTTCCCATGGTTCTATGATGATTCCATGATCAGATTTGTGCCCTGGTCAGGTGCAGCAGTAGCTACTGCCAGGGAAAGAACACAAGGCTGCAGGACCTGGAGCCACCTCTGCTCCCAGCACAGGACACCAGCTCAGCATCACCGGCACAACCAGAGGAAACTGGGTTTTTTTGAGAGCCCTGCAAGTTTGTCACACGTTGGGGGAGGGGACAGGAGAGAGAAGGGAAACTTTCTATGATGCAAACACTGCTAAAAATAAGAGATTAATTCGCCCATTCATGCATTCAAAGGAGCAAGCTTTTCACAGAAATGCTCAGATACAAAAACACCAGCACAGCTCGCAGACAAAAGGTTAGACCAAGATCTGAGGACAGGAGAAAGCAGCAGGTAATGCCTCACACCCAGGGACCACAGACATGCTCCAAGACTATTACACCAGGGTGTTGGAGATGCTTCCCCTGCCACCTGCCAAGGTACCTGTTGCACCGACTGCACGCTGGGTATTTTGCCAGTGAAAAGGGGTGAAGTCTCATGACAATATTTGGCAAGCTCTTCCTAAACCCAGTAAACTTGTGTTGGGGTAGGAGTTGTTTTCATCTGTAATATGCACACAGCTACATTCAGCTGGGAAATATTCACGTCAAGGGAGAGCAGGTCCCTGGGGAGAGCTCAGCCCTGCCAAACCCAGATAGAGCAGTGAAAAGAAAGTTTCTATGGGCAGGGCTCGAAGGACAAGCAGCTCACCCAGGTGCTATGAACCCTGCATGACAGAGAGAAAGTTCTGTAGCCAAGGCAGGTTGTAAATGGCTGTGAGAATAGAGATCACTTCTCTGTGGTGGAGAACAAAAAGGAGTCATTGTGCAATCAGTGGTCACTTGGGAAATGACCACAGCTACTGCTGCAGGTTTGGAAGTCTGCTTGAGCAGAGGCTTTCCATCACCTACACCATCCTTACACCATCACTGGCTGCACCTCACCTGTAAGCCTCGGAACCATTCAAAGCCAAATTCAACATCCCCCCTATTTATTTATAGCCTTAGAATGTCAGCAGGACAAAACCTCCTTAAAACAACCCCACAGTCTCAGGAACAGTGCAGTACCCTGTGCCCAGGAGGGCCCTGCAGCACCCCGGGCACAGCCCCTGCCCTGCAGCACCCCGGGCACAGCCCCTGCCCTGCAGCACCCTGGGCACAGCCCCTGCCCTGCAGCACCCCGGGCACAGCCCCTGCCCTGCAGCACCCCGGGCACAGGGGACAGAAGGCCCTGGTTCGTGCCTGCAGAGATTTTCAGGGCTGCAGAGGCAGCAGATCACACATCTGGGAACTGCAGCTTTTCCCAGGGAAAACTTCTGACGTGTCAACAATGAGCTGTTGCTTTCCCCCCCATCTTTGTCCAAAGGGATTCTCAGTGAAGGGCTCCACATGGCAGTGCCCGAAGGAGCCCTGGTCTCTTGGCTGCCCAGAGCTGTGGCACTGGGGTGAGCTCTGCCTGCCAGGAGCAGAGCCTGCTGGTATCATTCACCTGTTTTTGCCACGGTGATTGAATCCTGATAATCAGACGCATTTCCAGGCAGTCACATGATTTAAAATATCACACCTGTCCCAGATAGCAGGGCTTTGGACCAAAGGTACAGATTTATAACCACAAAAAACAGTGGGATATTTGTGGTGCAAAGGCCAACTAGTGCTTAGAAAGCAACCAGGTGTCTTGGACACCAAACATTATTTCTGGGTTGTTGAGGATCATTCCTCCTTTCTGGTTCTGCAAGGGTCCATTTTCCTTCCTGTGTTTATGCACACAAGGAGGACAGAAACTTTCTCAGGGCAAAAACTCTCCCAGAGGCTTGGGAGGGCCAAGGAAAGAAGTGTTATCTGTAGAAAAGTCAGTTTTCAAGCTAAGATGGGGAAAAATCTATCCCTTGAAAGGGAGATGGGGATGAAAGTCACATTTTCATGGACAATTAGTATCTGTGTTTTCTCCTTCACCAATTGCCTCAGTCCACTCCCTGTACCCTCTTCCCCTGCAGTGCTGCACTCCAGAGCTCCTTTTCCTCCCATGTTTTTTCATGCCCTTCAGTATTTCTCTCACTGTTGAACTCATCCCCGTCCCTCCCCAGCCTTTCCATGCACAAAGAAGGCAATAATCAAAGCTCATTAGCGTGGTCAGACCCTGCAGGCAGCTCCAGGCACTTGCACTGTGTCCTGCCCCACTGCCCTTTGGTCTCATCTGTCCTGATAAGGTCAGGATGTGAATTCACCAGCGTGGTTCCCTGCCGTGCACTCTGTCCCAGCACAGCTCCCCCGGAGAGGGGAGGAGCTGGGAAGGGATGGGAAAACTCCCCCCAGCCCCTTCCAGAGTTCCAGCATGCACTGCCACCAGCTGAACTCTCAGAGGAACATCAACCCAAGCCAGCAGGAGCCATAAATCACCTAAAGCCCAGAGAACCTGCTCATCCTGCTGGATTTGATCACCAGCTGGATGTGACCAGAGGTGTCACCACCAGTGTGGAGGACTCAGAGCTGCCAGCACGAACAATCACACACTCAATGCACCAGGTGCCTCGTTGCCCATGGGGAGGGCAGTGTGGGACCATGGGCAGCACAACTGGAAGATGGGGCAGCCAGGAGGATCTGTAGCCACAGGGCTCAGAGATGGTTAGGGCCAGGGGCTGGACAAGGGAGCAGATCTCGTGACCCACCGACCTAAAACTCCTGTGCCAGCAGTTCTCAGGAACACCAAGGCACTGTCCCTTCTATGGGGTAAGGCTGGAAAATGAAGTCAGGACAAATGCAGGGATAGAGTAGGCACCAGGAAACAGTTATCAGCAGATACCCAGGAATAAGGAATCCAGTCTGCAGAGCAAACAGGACAGCAAATCCAGCCTCTCTCCCTGCTCTGACAATCAACACAAACAGCCAGGCTCTCCTCAGCCTTTTCAACCTCAGAATGATCCACTCCATTCCTTTTGCTCATGATTCATACAGAAACTTCACAGTGGAGCCTTTAAAGAGCCTGACAGTCAGTACCCACCCAGCCTGAGACGTCAGGTGGGGTGAGGGGTGAGATGTCACAGCCCACGCAGCACAGACCTGCCTCTTGCAGGCCACCAGTGTCTCCCAGCTACCAAAAACCAGTAGGGAGGAGCAGGCTGAGTTGGTGGCCCATCAGGTTGCCAGTGGTACCCAGCTCCTGGGCCAGACCAGCAGCAACACCCCTTGCTTATCACCACACCAGCATCCTGAGCTGTGCTGAGGGTGCTCAGCTGCCACAGATGAGCTCACCACCTATTTTGGGGTAGAATTGTCACACTTCAGACAAGTGCTCCTGCCTACTGTGCTTGTTCCCCATCACATGGTGTGACACACTACGCTGTGGGCACGTGGTCACAGCATCAAAGATCACAGCCAAGCTATGAACAGCAGCTTCTGGGGACCTTCCAGGGGAATTCAACCTCACCAGTGTTACACCACGG